TGGGGTGCTCCGAGCGGTGGCGAGCGCGCGACCGGCCGAGATCCGGCCCCCAAAGCCTGGGGAGTAGGAAGGGGCCAGGGAGGTTCTGGTTGTGCAGGCGCCGCGACGAGCTGCCCAGGGGACGCGCTGGGGCGTCGCGGGGAAGCAAAGCGTTTGCTGCCGGCACTGCAATGCCAGCATTTGCAAGCCCCAACGCTTCCCCGCACCTGGAAATCCAATTTTGTAAGAGACGCCCACGAAGAAGCCACCAAAAAGGAGGAAGCAGCATTTCTGCTCCTCCCGGTTACAGGCAAACTGTGACTCAAATTCTGTTCCTGGAGGAAGGCAACAGGCGAGATGGCAAAAAGCAGCATTTCCAACAGCTGCTCAACAGCCAGACGACACTTGGGAGCCCTCAAACCACAATAAACACTTACGTTGATGGCTCCCAGCTTACTGAGGGACTGCAGTTTGGGATGCCAGAAGCCTCGCTCAGCTCAGGAAAGGTGGTGACACCATTTTTCCCCCTGTTTCTCATGAACTGTGGTGCAGCGGTCCCCGCTGGTTTCACATTTCTAGCCCAAAGTCAAGAGAATAACGCCATTTCCGCCTCGCGTGCTCTGGCAGCGGCTCCCCAGCGCTGCAGGAGGGAGGGATGAGGCAAGGCCAGGGAAGCTGCCTTCCCAAACCTCATTTTGTGTCTTTTCCCTGCCCTTTGGCGCAGCGCTGAGGCCGCTGCCCCGCAGCCCCTGCTCCTACCTCCTCGCAAGGAGCTGCGACCTGGTTCCCGCGGGGGAGATGAGGCTGATCTGCAAGTCGCCCCGGCGAGGGTGCGAGATGGTGACGCGCACGACGACGTGCTCCAGGTAAACCACGTGCTGGTCGTAGTGGTCAGCGCAGGCGCTGGCGAGAGTGGTGGCGCGCACCACGTGATCCGCACGGATATACCTGGTGGGGACAAGCGGAGCGTCAGCAGGTGGAAGAGCACCCGTCCCGGGGGAGCAGTGCCTGGGGACGGGGTGGCAGCTGGCCAGGGACCAGCTCATCCCACCTGCGCTTGGGTGCTGTGGGTACCTTCTCTCCCTAGCTCACCAGCCCAGGGTAAGCGGGGTCCGAGCCTGGCGCTTTGCTGAGGTGCCCGAAAGCCGGCGGCTGAGCCCAGCGCTGACCGCGAGCTGCAGCGTGGCTGGCCAAAGGCAACCAAGATGCATGGGCTGCAGAGGGCACGTGCTCAAATACACGAATAATCACCATGGCCGAGAAGGACTGCATCCCAGGACGCGTCTTAGCTGTGCTGCTAATGCACCATTTATTAGCAGGGGCAGTCTCTCACTCTCGTACGTCCAGCCATCCTCCACGGGACACTTCAGGACATATGCTTGGGAGCCTGACAGGGATCACATAGCTCGGCTTTATTTCGCCTTAGTCACTCAAAATAATCAGAATAGTTATAAACAGTGATGTAATTCCTGGGAGGACCAGGGAGCACTCAAAAACATCACATGCAAGGACAAAATTTGAGATGCTGCATCTGTTCCTCATTGGAAAAAAAAATCCCTTTCCTTAGAGGGCCAGGACGGTAAAGGGGTTCGGGTATTTCGCTCCCACTGAGCAAATGTTGTTTAGACCCAGCCTTTTTCAATGCTATCTTTGCGGGCGTGTAGCCTCCACCCCACATAACCCACTCCCGCTGAAGTGCGGCCGCTTGGCAAAAGCTCTCAAATAACCCGGGCCCTTGACTCACTCACGCAAAGCTGGAGCTAGGGGAGGGTGAGAGGCAGGTGCCGCTGCAGGGCTGCACGTGCGCCCACGGGGGATCAGGGCCACACACACACACGTCCACGGCGGGTCAGCGCCGCAAACGCCTGCCCGCAGTGCTCAAGCCCCAAGAACTGACAAACTCGGGACGCTTCCCCAGCCGGCAGGGCGGTGGCCTCCCTCCCAGCAGCTGCTCCAGCACCAGCTGCCAGCGAGCACCCAAGCGAACAGCGTGAGTGAGCAGGGAAGCGTGTCACGTGGAAAACTGTTGGCCATTAATAGCAATGGCTTGAGCCTATTTGTGTTTCTTAGGAAATATCTTCTTGCTCTGTGTGTCAGCGGGCGCAGGCGACGCATGCGTCTGTGCCCCTTGCGCGTTTTGCTCAAGACTGACAAGATAAAGAGACAGAGGATGTGAAATGGCTTAAATCTGCCAACATTTTCAACAGGGTGAGCTTCCTCCAAAAATGCAATCCAAGCCACACTAAACTGCTCTCTGTATTTCCATCTCTTCCCACAAACTGAGTTTTAACAAGGGGCAGGAGGGGCTCCTTAATGCAATATAATTTGGAAGTATTTCCCTTGGCTCCTCTGTGCTATGTCTCTCCGGTTCCTATCAGCAAGCCACAGACACTCTGTTTTGTTTAAACCTGGTTTCCTACTGCTTCACAGCAAAAAGCAGTGAATTTTTGCATCCTCTGTTGCAATACACTGTCCTAGCACAGGAATTTGCTGAATTTCTTTACAGTAACAAGATGCTTTTGAACAAGACGTATGTCTTAGGGGCTGCAAGTGTGCTTTTTATTATAATTATCGGTGCAGTTTCTCTTTGGTTTGCAATTAGTGTCTCTGTCAGATAGACAAATTGCTTTATGAACAGACTTGGCTACAAATCATTACTCTTGCATTCTTAACTCTTTCCAAAGAAATTATGCTTTTTTGATCAACAAATGAGGTAGCGTCTTACCAGGAGGTCTGATTTTGCCAGACACCCTAATCTGGCTCAAGGGAAAATCATGCCCCTTTCATCAATCAATTGGTTGCTGCAGCAGGACTCCTTTGAAAGCCTGCTTCCCCGCAGAGTAACATTTCACACTTTGGTCAGAGATCTCCTGGATCTGGGAAAAGTGGGGCTGGATCCTCACTCAGCCCACTGGCACCATGGGAGCTTGGTTTCAGCTGGGAATGGATCAGGCCTGAAAAGAGGTGGAAGGGTCTTTTCAAGTTCCCCAGGCATCTGGCCAGCCTTGGCCCTGGAGAGCACAGCTCAGCCTCGCCTGCGTTCGGGAGTGCCGAAACAACAGCCGTCAACGCTCGCCCGTTGTAGGCGACGACTCTTGCTATAGCGAACCCAGAGCAGGACGAGTTGCTGAGGCACCAGCACGGCAATTATTAATGCAGCCCCTTCTCCAAACCCTGTCCCACGCTCACCTCCCCATTCAATGCTGCACTCTGATATCCCAGTGAAGCACCAGCAGTTTATGGCAGTAAATAACTTTGCTCACATCACTGATCTCAGCCTTCAATCTAGCAGATGAAGAACTACCAGTAACACGATACAAACCTGAACTAGTCTGAACCTGAAGCCACATTCAAAGAGACCGTAGGCATTACTCTTTAACGGGAAGTGTGGGAAGTCCTTGCAAACAACTACCATTTTTGGTGCCTTCAAGTCAGAATGAGCTCTTTTGTGGAAGAGAGATATCAGCCCAATACATCACTGTTAATGTAGGAGCCAGCGGGTGAATTCTCTGATCTCCCTAAGCCATTTCCA